CGCTTCATATAGGGGGACAAGTCGCCCACTGAGTGGGTGGTGGCACAACTCTGCAGCAGCCCATAATTTACGATTGATTGTCCAGCGGCTTCTTTTTGGGTTTTATCTAAGGTCATACCCAGCCAACTAAGCAGTTAACACCACCATAAAACGCGCAGTTATCACTTCTGCGCCAGAATTTGCAGGATGAGTTCTTCGCCACATAACCCTTGACTGCACGGAATTAGCTCGATGGCCAGTTGGCTTCCTTCCCCGGGGATTAGCTTCAAATCGACCAAAACATTTGTTATGTTGGCTTATAAGAGTCTCTAGCTTGTCTCATGAGACACGTCCGCTTTCGCTAGAGGTGCTGGAAAAGCGGCGTAAAATCGACTGTTTGGTCTGTAAACATTCTAGAGGTATTAAGGTGTTTTATCTGATCAACCTGTTGGTAGATTACGGTAGTGATTTATTAGCTCGCAGTCATTATCTCATGGGTGAGACTCAAGATTGAATAGGTTGCCTGAGCGTCAACTTTGATCAGCTGATAGCGCTGAGGTACGCCATGCAGTCGCACTTCATACAAAATTGTGAGGGTGATCCCTTCACTCTCCTGAGCGGCCTGAAGGATGCTAGTGATGGCACTTATCAGTGATCGCAAAGACCAGGGAGAGGTTTAGGCTCACAATAGGGCGCTATTCCACCCGGAACATTCGAAGCAGCTTCAACGCCCATTCAGATAGTCGAAAAAATGAAAAAAATGCGGAGATCCCACCCCTTCATCCTGCTTTGCCATGGCCATGCAGCGGCGCTTCAAGGGATGAATTTGCACCTACTCATTTTCTTTTGGCCATCGGACATGGGCGTGGAAACTGTGGAAAAAAACGAATGTACTGGGCAGAAAAACGCCCTCTTTCGTGCAATATTGCGTGAAGATAGCAGCATTCGCAATTTTGCACAAGTAGCCCTCTGCCGAACAAGGCTAGCTTCAATTCTAGGCCATTTCTTCGATTTGACGTTTTTTTGGTGGACGGCATTTAAAGGAGGAAGGCGCGAGGGAACTCTTGATGGCTAAAATTTCTGCTTCAATTGCGGGGACAAAACTATGGGGTTGGTGCCTTCGCGCAAAATGGTTCTCGCATTTTGCAGAAAAAATTGTCTGTTATCACCTTTCCCAAACGCTTAGGGCAGAGGTTTAATGTAAAATTAAGAAATAAAAACAGAAAAGTAAAAAAGAAGGGGCGTAATGCTGCTTAGAGGCCTCTTGCACTTTCGCTAAATTCTTTTGTTCATGTTAAAAAGGTCTCACTCTGGTGACACCTGTAAACCCAAACACTGTTCCCAGGCGGCGGTGTTCGAATTGGGAGGGGCACTTTCCACCAGTCTCGTTCTCTAGTTCATGTTAACCAGTAGCCTCTATTTTAGTGAAACCTGAACCTGCGAACTCTCGTAAAGTTGCAAAAGGGTAAGGGAGAGCCACTTCAGCAACAAGAGCTTACAACTCTCCACAAGGTAAACTGTACAAGCCTTGGAGAGTACCTTTCCTGCCCCTACCAAGCCGAACGGCGCCACAACTGTCGTGGTTTCGAATGCCTTAGGTGCTTTTTAGTACCATACCCTAGCAGAATAGCGCCGCGCTACTTTTCTGGGGCCCTTATTTGAAGCCTATTTTTACTTCTCTGAGCCTAGGAATACCAAAATTGTCCCGAAGCCCGATATTCCGTTGATACGTAGCCATGGTTACTTCTATACCAAAAAAAATCAAGCCTGTCACCATTCTGTAATATCTAAACCCTGGCCACATAAGTAGTCTTTTTTGACCCGTTTCCGAAGAAACCTCATAGGGGGACCCTTGGTTGGCTCCGCAAGGACATTCGTCGAATATCCTCAGTTTCTGGTCGTTTGGCTCCAGGAAATGGCCTTCGGCCCCTGCCACCGATGGCTCATTTCTGCTTGGCGTTAATGTTAGCACGTTCCAGTTCAGGGCATTCCGCATGCGGCTATTCAAAGGAGTCGTTGACTCAGACGGCTGGCAGCAATATTTGCAGGGTGCTTGTATAGAAACCTAAGCAGCGTTTTTACAACCCTTTAGGTCTACATGGGCTATTCGGGGATCTCTGGGGCAACCAGTGGCGAAACTTGGAATTTCCCGCAACGCAACATGAGGAGCTAATCGGATTTCAGAACAAACTCTCTTTCACCACCACCGAAGTCCTTCCTCACCATGGCGCAAGGGGACCTGCCTACCCTGACCCCTGACACCTCATCGCGAGAACGTGACGCAGTCATAACTCATCGTAGTACCTAGGTAGGTTAAGATGGTGAGATAATCGTTGCTAGTGCGGTTTTACGACGAGCACTTAATGTGTTCGGCATGATCGATTCGACACATTGTTTTTAGACCATAACATAACTCATTTTTCATGCTCAGCCAGTCAGCATTTTAGGTCTCGCCATGACGGCAAGACTCCATTACTTGCGCGAATATGTCAGTTTCTCTTCACCACGATCCCAAAGAAATAGTGGCAGTCGGCTTAGTATGGCGGCTTTTCAGCGCCTTCGCGCGGTCTCCTTGGAGAGCTGTTGGCGCTGCAGGAATTCAATGGGCTAGTCATTATAAGGGGGACTTTTGTCGTAGGTGAGATTGTTGACGCAGCGCTTTTTTTTTGCTTTCTTTCAAAGTACCTAAATAGGGCAAAATGATCGCCGTTTGTTGACGGTTTGGGGTGCGCCACGCAACAGTCTTTTACAAGAGACTGCAGAGGCAATTGAAAGGGTATTCAGACCTGCGGAAGCCGCCGATGTTCGAGTCAAATCTTTAGGAGGCTTATGCGTCACCACGAGCGATGTCTTTTCTCATAGAGAGGAAAAAGGGCTTGGCGACCTCACAAGTGCCTCTGGTGCGCCATGCATCCAACCATGTCGCAACGCCTTTTGAATGCGGGGCGCTGTTTATCGACGGGGGGGCATTTTGTATTATAATTGCTTCCCTGGTTCCGGTTTAAATCTCACTCTGGTAAAACTTGTGAACGCTTGTGAAGCTGGAGCAAGATCGTCTAGCCACCATCCTAAAAACGTGTCAA